GAAAACAAGAAAGTTATATAGAAGACCAATGAAACAAAAATTTGGTTCTTTGAAAACATACACAAAAATTCATATATTTTTGGTAGGTTAACCAGGGATAGAAGAGAAAGGACTCAAATAAACTCTATCAGAATTGAAAAAGGAGATATTACAACTGATACCACAAAATAAAAAATATCATCTGTGAATACTATGATAATATCTATGCACATACACTTAAAAACATAGAGGAAATGAACAAATTTCTAGAAACACACAAGCTTCCAAGACTCAAACAGGATGAAATAGAATTTCAACAGACCAATAATGAACAAGGAAATTGAAGATGCAATAAAATATTTCCAATAACAAACAAAAGCCCCAGTCAGATGGATTCACATCTAAATTTTACCATCTATGAAGAAGAGTTGATACACATTCTGCAGAAATTATTCCATAACATCTAGAAGGAGGGAATCTTTCCCCAACTCATTCTGCATCACAGCTATAAAAGCTATAAGGTGATCTTATAGCTATAAGGTGATCCCAGCATCACCTTAATACAAAAGCTGGGAAAAGACACAGCTACAGTAACAAAAAAAACAGACCAATATCCCTTATGAATATAGATTCAAAAATCTTCAATAAAATGCTAAACTGAATTCAACAGCATATCAAAAAAAAAAAAAAATTCACCATGACCAAGTGGGCTTCATCCAAAGGATGCAAAGATGTTTCAACATATGTAAATCAAGAAATGTGATTAACCGCATAAACAGAAACAAAATCAATGATCATATGATCATCTCCATAGATGCAGAAAAAGCATTAAAAAAATCCAGCACCATTTTATGATTAAAAAACATCAAAAAACTAGGCATAGAAGGAATATATCAAAATTATAAAAGCCATATATCATAAATGCACAGCCAGCATCATACTCAATGGGAAAAAGTTGAAATTATTTCACTAAGAACTGAAAAAATGCAAGGATTCCCATGGTCACCACTTCTATTCCACAGAATGCTGGAAGATCTAGACAGAGCAAGAGAACAAAATAAAATGTACTCAAAACAGGAAAAAGAAGGTCAAACTATCTCTTTTTGTGACAATATAATCTTATATCTAGAAAACCCTAAAGACTTCACCAAGAAACTCTTACAATTGATAAATTAATTCAGCAAAGTCTCATGTTACAAAATCAATATACACAAATCAATAGTATTCCAATCAGCACAGCAACAACAGTCAAGCTGAGAGTCAAATCAAATGCTTAATATTATTAACAATAGCCACAAAGGAAATAAAATACCTAGAAATATACTTGACCAAGGAGGTGAATGATCTCTACAAAGAGAACTACGAAACACTGAACAAAACAATTGCAGATGATACAAACAAATGGAAAAACATATCATGCTCTTGGATTGGTAGAATCAACTTTGTTAACATGTCCATAGTACCCAAAGTAATTTACAGAGTAAATACAATCCCAATTAAAATACCAACATCATAATTCATAGACCTAAAAAAATAATTCCATGCTTCATTTGGTACCATTTAAAGAGCCTAAATAGCCAAAGCAATCTTTAGCAAAAAAGAACAAAAATCTGGAGGCATCACCTTACCAGACTTCAGATTATACTACAAGGCTATAGTAACAAAAACAGGATTGAACTGACACTGAAATAGAGACATAGACCAACGGAACAGAAGCAGGAACCAACAGATAGAACCATGTACATACAGCCAACTGATCTTTGACAAAGCAGACAACAATATACACTGGGAAAAAGAATCCCTATTCAATAAATGGTGCTGGGAAAATTGGATAGCCACATACAGAAGAATGAAACAGGATGTATATCTCTCACTACTCACAAAAATTGCTTTAAGGTACATAAAAGACCTAAATGTAAGGCAGGAAACCATAAGAATTCTAGCAGAAAATGTTGGAAAAACTCTTATAGATATCATCCTAGGCAAAGAATTTGTGAAGAAGACCCTAATAGCAATTACAGCAACAACAAAAACAAACAAACAAATAAATAAATAGAACTTGATTGAATTAAAAAGCTTCTGTAGAGCTAAGAAAATAATCAACAGAGCAAATAGCAGCCTACAGTATGGGAGAGAACATTTGCAAGCTATACAAGCAACAAAGTGCTAATAACTGAAATCTACAGAAAATTCAAGAAAGTTAGCAAAGAAGACAAATAACCTCATTAAAAAGTGGGCAAAAGACATGAATATAAGCTTTGCAAAAAAAAAAATAGAAAAATGATCAATAAACCTGAATAAATACTCAATGTTACTAATTATCAATGAAATGCAAATTAAAACCACAGTGAGATATCACTTTACCCCTATTTAAATAGCTTTTATTAAAAGTCCAAAAAGAACAGGTGATGCTGTTGCTGCAGAGATAGGGAGTGCTTATATACTGTTGGTGGGACTTCAAATTAATATAACCTCTAGGGAAAACAGTATGGAGATTCTTCAAAGAACTAAAGTAAACCTACCATTTGATCCAGCGCTCCCAATACTGTGTATTTCCCCAAAGGAAAAGAAGTCATTTTATCAAAAAGACACCTGCACTTTAATGTTTATTGCAGCACAATTCATAGTTGCAAAGATACGGAATCAACCCAAGTGCCCATCATGAGTGGATTAACAAAATGTGGTATATGTATACTATGGGGTACTACTCAGCCATGAGTAAGGATGAATGAAGGTCTTTCCACCAATTTGGATGGAACTGGAGACCACCAACCCACATGAAGTATCTAAAGAATGAAAACACAAATATCACAGATCTCACTACTAAATTGGAACTAACTGACAAGCACATGTTTGCACAGAGGTAAGTAAGACTCACTGGAAATCAAACAGGAGAGAGAGAAGAAGAAGGTATGCATGAAATCCTGCCCCATGTGTACAATGAACACTATCTGGGTGATGGGCACACTTATAACCCTGGCTCTAGCATAACAAAATTGATACATGTAACCAAAAACAATCACATAATATGTTGAAGTAGAAATAAGTAACTTTTCAGAAATTCTTGATCTTCCATATCCAAAGATAACCCACAAGCACTTATGGCATTATGGGCCACTCCCGGAAGGGCACAGGCATTAGCACTCTAGGATTTGGTGATTGAAAGGACCTTTACTGCCTGATTTTGTAGCCATCTCATCAACAGGGCCCACAGGATACTGCAAACCCTCTCACGAACTTAACTTTTTACTACTTGAAATGAGGACGCATCTGTGTCTCCAGGTAGACATGGAAATTACTCAAGCATGGAAATCTCTTCTTAAGATGGACAGTGCACCTCATTTCCCACAAGAATCTCCTATGATGAAACAGGACATTTTGGAAGAAATCTTTTGTGAATCCCATGTGGTTTAGAGACAAATCCTTGTTCAATACAGGAAACTGGTTTCTTCTTGATAACAGTGGGTATGAGAGTAAAAACAAGAAATAATTTTGCTCTCCATAGGAAGGAAGAGAACATAGGAGAGGGCAGTCAGGAGGAGCAGAGGGGGAGGTTGAGGAGGCTCTTGAACAAAGGACTATATGGGAGAGACATTTCACACAGGAGGGAATTGACTGCAGGGTGATGTGACATCATGCTGGGGCCACAAGGACACCATGCACAAGGACCTAGATGCTACCACAGAGCTCTCAGCACACTGAGGTTTCCATCTACAGGTCTCCACTATGCCACAGGTGTTGAAGGTGACTCTGTGAGAGTCTCAGTGGACACATCCCACTTTGACCAGTCAATTTTATTCTCTTAGCTCTTCATGGCCACTTCCACTTGCAAAGTGATGCCATGCCAAGGTGACAGCAGGAGGGTCCCAGCAATGGTGGGTGAGACAGTCCCATCAATCCATCCCAGGTCCCACAGGAGCCACAGGCTGGGCCACAGCTGAACAACAGGTAAAGGGCCTGAGCCCTGGGATTTAGACACAGAGACCACACCCTCCACTTTCTGGGAGAGGAAAGAGAAGAGGAAGAATTCAAAATAGAACCTAGAAAGAAATAAGACTGACTTGCAGAAACAGATACAACTGAATCAGTTCTGCATGAGGAATGTACAGTTTTAAATGAGGAGAGAACAACTTGAAACAATTAGGTTTTCTGAGACTGGCCCTGGCCCAGGTCCCTACATGTCCTAATCTGAATCCCAAAGACTGTCCCACTCAGGAAGTCTCACTGAGGTATCTGTGCTGAGTTTGGTTGGAAAATGCTCAGCAGGTTCCCTGGGCTTCCTCAGGACTCTGATGTTAGTGATAATGTCACGGTCATTTCTGCCCAGGAGAGTGACATTCTACCTTGTGTGCAGGTGAGAATGTGTTCATTCATGACAACACATTTCTTATTTAGACACTACCTTGAGGATCACAGAGCAACAAAGGAAGATAGGTCCCAGGATGAAATTTCTAGAGAGGAGGCCCCCAAATCTGACAGAAAACAATTATTGTCACCTGCATCTGCCTGAGGCTCACTCTGCTCCTTGTGTCCTGCGCGCCCCCTAGCGGCCCAGCGACTCCCTACAGGAGGGTTGTGTCTGTGCTAACGCTGATCTCCCCTCACTGTGTCTCTTGCACAGTAGTACAGGGCTGTGTCCTCGGCTCTCAGACTGTTCATTTGCAGATACAACGAGTTCTTGCTGTTGTCTCTGGAGATGGTGAACCGGCCCTTCACGGCGTCTGCGTAGTATTGCTTACTTCCATCATACCTTATATGTGCCACCCACTCCAGCCCCTTCCCTGGAGCCTGGCGGACCCAGTTCATCCAGTAGTCACTGAAGGTGAATCCAGAGGCTGCACAGGAGAGTCTCAGGGACCCCCCAGGCTGGACCAGGCCTCCCCCAGACTCCACCAGCTGCACCTCACACTGGACACCTGCAAACACAGACACATCCTGGTCAGAAATTGCCACACACACCCCCTGTTTCTCTCACTCACATCCACTCACACCCCCAATATTTCTAGTTCTTCATGAATTACCTTGTAACAGAGCAACAAGGAAAACCCAGCCCAGCCCAGACTCCATGGTGAGTCTCTGTGTTCAGTCCTGGTCACCAAATGGGGACACCTGGGAATACTGGGGCTGGGGCTCCTCTCCCAGAGCTGCAGGGTGAGGGCTGGGCTGCTTTTCATCAGCAGAAGGAGGGCCCTATTTGCATGTCCCCTGCTATATAGCAAGCTGTAGCGTGGGGATGCCTGAGTGAGGGCAGGGTCCAGAGAAGAGGTGAGAGCCCTTTGGGAGTTCATAGGGCATGATACACAGGTGCATGACACAGAGAAGCATGGAAGAGTTGTACAATACGCCCAAGAGCATGCACATGTCAGTTGAGAGCTACCAGCAGTATCTGGATCTTTGGTCCTCACCAGTACATTCATTCTACTACTTCTGTGAACCAACCCCAGGACAGATGTGGACATGGCTCATGGGGTTTGTAGAAACCCCTTTATGTAATGAGAGCGTGATGTGATTTTGCTGTGTTGTATTGTTACCTAAACTTAAATGCTGCATCAACATTTGGGCCTCTGTGTGTCCTCTATCCTCAACGGCACCTCATCTGTGAAGTAAGCCTCACTCATCTGAGGGTAATCAGCTTGACACAACTTGTCAAATGCAACTGCTGCTACCTCTGTGCCAGGCCCGGGAACATAGGGCCACAAAGAACAAATTATAGTTTGTTCTTACATTTCCCTATGACCAGGCAGGTCCACACAGGTCCATGATTAGTTCATAGGGCTATAAAATGCTTGGGACCGTAGCCAGCCCTAATCTTTGTGGAAATGTCAATGTGAATGTGAGTGGTCAGCCTTCCTTGTCCTCTGCTGCAGATAGTTCTGTGGCTGTCGTTGATATTCACTAGCATCCCCTCCCACCTCCACTGTGGACTCTTCTAACACATGGCCAGCACTTCACAGTGAGGGTTGCTCTGTGTTGCTTTCCTAGTGCACTCAAGCCTGAACACTATGGGGTCATTGTCCTTGGTCACTTGGACATTCTCAGACATGTAGTTTATGCAGTTGACCTCCCCAGTGTTGAATGCAGTGGAGGAAGCCAGGAAACTGTCTAGGCCTGAGGGACTGCCCCTGCCTCCATCAATACATTCAAGCTTAGCTTCAAAAGGAGAGTTAATGTCTATCAGTGGGAGACTGACTTTTCTTTGTTCACTGTTGCACAATCATGAGGCCCCAAATTTAGGGGCATCAGACCAGGTCTCTGATTCAGAGGAACACATCATGCCCCAATTAGGAGTGTTCCTACTTGGGAACCAGGACTTCTAATCTATCACAGCTTAAAATTATGGCAATAAGAAGAAAAAATTTCAAAGTTTTGACCATGGATATGGTGATAGGAATTAATTTCACTTCTATGCCTGATTTCCAGACCCATGTGCCATGGAACACTGATAATGCCCATTATTTTCAGGTAATTGCTTCCAGTCTTGGTGACCAAGAAGTGGTCTTTGGTTTAGGAATTATGTTGCCTCCTAGAAGACAATTTTATAAAATATATGGATCAGGCTCACTCAGAACTATTTGCAGAGACTTAAATCAGCCCTTCTATTTTCCTATCCTGATGTGTGTTTCTGGAAAAATCTGAAAGATATAGGGTGATTGGATCTTGTGCTAACATTTACATAGTCACACTCCCTAACCTTTAACAACAAACAGATTCTTTGGTCTTAGATAACATCATGAAAGGTCTTATGTCAGAGATGCAGATATCAGAACCTGGCCAGTGATTCTGAAAGAAGGACTGTGGTGGGAAAAGCAATCTCACATTATAATACTGCTTAATTCTGGTTGGCACAAAGTGCAGCCACTCAAGGGTAGATGTGTTCTGAAGAAATAAACTTGCTACCTTGTGGTGAGTAGGTGTCCCTGCAGGATGTGCTTATGTTGACAGACTGGTATAATATATGTCACTATGAGGCCAGCCACTTAACAGGAGGATTTAGGTCAGGCTTGTTGGGAGGCAGCCCTGATCATGCTCCATGCATGGGCTGCAAGAGTTCTGATATTAACACAGCCAGCGCAGAGCCAATGAATATGGCTCTACCAGTAATTTAAATATAATCTACCTTAACCCTGTGACCTGAAAGAACATCTATCAATTGCTTAGACATGCTGATTCCTTTTAAATACTAATATAATTATAGGAGCTTTATGATGTTATTTGTGCTAGAGTGTTGTGAGTTTAGTTAATTGGACTAATAGTGGAGAATTTTTAACATTTAAGTACCCTGTGGAGTTGGAGGAAACATTGAAGCATATGTTAGAGCAGGCGTCCTCAAACTATGGCCCACATAGTTTGAGTTTCATCATAAAAACATGCTGGATTTTGTCAAATGTATTTTTTCTGCATCTAGTGAGATGATCATATGACCTTTGTCTTTGCTCCTTTTTATGTGGTGAATCACATTTATGGATTTATGTATGTTGAATCATCCTTGCATCCTTAGGATAAAGGCCACTTGCTTATGGTTGATTATTTATTTATTTATGTTGGTTTTTAATATTAATTTTTTTAAATTTAAATTTTATTTTAGCATATTATGGGGGTACAAGTGTCAAGGTTACTTATATTGCCCATGCCCCCCTCCCCCTTTGAGTAAGAGCTTCAAGCATGTCCATCCCCCAAACGTTGCACTTCTTACTCGTTGTGTTTGTATATACCTGTCCCTTCCTCCCCCCTCCCACTCTCCTGACACCCAATAAATGTTACTCCTATATGTCCACTTAGGTGTTGATCCGTTAATACCAATTTGCTGGTGAGTGCATGTGGTGCTGGTTTTTCCATTCTTGAGATGCTTCACTTAGTAGAATGGGTTCCAGCTGTATCCAGGAATGTACAAGAGGTGCTATATATCACTGTTTCATGAATTGATGGGCACTCGGGTTGTTTCCATAGCCCTAACTCCAGTGGCTTTTACCAAGTTCCAAACCAATAGATGCTGGCATGAACGTGGAGAGAAAGGTACACTCATATCCTGGTGGTGACTGCAAGTCAATGCAGCATCTATGGAATAGGAATCATACTTCAATAATAAAGCTGGAAGTTGATAACCAGTAATTCATATTAATGATATAAACTTTTCATTGGAATATAGTGCTCAGCCTGGTGTAAAATTGGCTCTCATGATGAGAGTCATTGCACTTTTTAGAGCTTGTCAGTTAGCCAAAACTGGGATTAAATTCATGTTTTTGCAGTAGTGCATGAACTTGGGATACTTTTCAAACAAAAGGGTTTCTCACAACTTCTGGAGACCCTATGAAAATGAAGAACAAGCTATGGCACTGTCAGATAAACGTCTAAGTCTTAGAGACCCTACACGGCTGCGGGGGGCCCTGGAGTGGCCAGCGGCGGCCTTCCCCGGCTGGCTCGGTCCCACCGCCCGGCCTGAGGGGAGGCACCGGCCGGGCCCCACCGGCGGCCCTGCCACCTCCGAGTCACCCCACTGCTCCCCGCGGTGCGGACGCGAGGCTGCCTCTCGCCCTGTGCCGACGCCATGAAGATCAAGGACGCCCCGGAACCGCGTTCCCATGGTTTGGCATGGACGCTGGGGGAACTCTAGCAAGGCTCCCATATTTTGAGCTACTGATATCACAGCAGAGGAAGAACAAGAAGAAGTTGAGAGCTTAACAAGTATTCGGAAATATCTGACTTCTAATGTAGCGTATGGATCCACTGGCATTCGGGATGTACACCTTGAACTTAAGGACTTAACACTTTTTGGGCGGAGAGGGAACTTGCACTTTATCGGATTTCCAACCCAGGACCTACCTACCTACTTTTATCCAAATGGGAAGAGATAAAAACTTCTCAGCATTACAAACGGTGCTGTGTGCTACAAGGGGTGGTGCTTGCAAGTTTGAAAAAGATTTTCACACCACCCTCTCCCCTCCCACCTGCCCAATACCCTATTACTGTAGTACCTATGCGTCCACTTAGGTGCTGCTCAGTTAATACCAGTTTGCTGGTGAGTATATGTGGTGCTTGTTTTTCCATTCTTGGGATACTTCACTTAGTAGTATGGGTTCCAGCTCTAACCAGGAAAATATAAGATGTGCTATATCACCGTTGTTTCTTAGAGCTGAGCACATCTGGGGGATGGTCACGCTGGGAACTCAGACTTGTGGGGGGTGGGGGGGAATGGGCATTTTTTGAAACCTTAAAATTTGTACCCCCATAATATGCCGAAATAAAAAAAAAAAAGATTTTCGCACAATTGGAAACCTCCACTTGCACAAACTGGATGAACTTGACTGCCTTGTAAAGGGCTTGCTGTATGTGCATAGACTCTGTCAGTTTCAACGGACAAGCAGAGTGCTATTATTTTGCTAGTGCCTCAGAACCTGAGCGATGCCAAAAGATGCCTTTTTCTGGAGTCAGTATTTTAGCAGTCCATTCCAGAGACAACTATAATCGAGTGACTGGGGCAAGCCTTGGAGGGAGTACCTTTCTGGGTTGATGCAGTTTATTGACTGACTGTGAAAGTTTTGAAGAGGCTCTTGAAATGGCATCAAAAGGTGACAGCACCCAAGCTGCCAAGCTGGTTCATGCTATTTATGGAGGAGATTATGAAAGATTTGGTCTGCCAGGTTGGGCTGTGGCATCTAGTTTCGGGAATATGATTTATAAGGGGAAGCCAGAGTCTGCTGGTAAAGAAGATCTGGCAAGAGCTGCTTTAGTTGCTACCACCAATAACATTGGTTCTGTGGCAAGAACGTGTGCTGTTAATGAGGAAATAAACAGAGCTGTCTTCGTGGGAAACTTTTTACGTGTTAATTCTCTCTCAATGAAACTTCTGGCATATGCACTGGATTATTGGTCAAAAGGTCAACTGAAAGCATTGCTTCTAGAACATGAGGGAAACTTTGGAGCCGCTGGTGCACTTCTTGGGCTGCCAAATTTCAGCTAAAGCATCAGGTCTCTCTCTGCTAATAAATGTCATCCAAGGTGAACTGAAACCAGAGGCGTTATCACTGCATTGTTTGTGACTGGGAACCCAAGGGTAAAAGAGTACCATAAGCTGCTGAATGTTGCCATAGTAAGAGAAAACTCAGTAACATGAAGTATTTCTATTTGAAATGCTTTGCCTTTTGTATTTAACCAGTGTTAAATTCTTAAATGCAGTAAGAATTGCTGAGCTCTGATTGCTGAGCTTCCTCTCCAAAAGACTTTCTTTTTATTTTATGTAGCCATTGTAGTACTGTATACTCAAACACAAATCATCTCAGAAACGTTTAGCTTATGAAAATAATTGATTCTGAATATTTGTCACATCTTTTTTATGTGTTTTGATTACTAATGAGCGGATAGTATCATACCCTGTATCAAAAGTTATTGAAATGGCAATCAAAGATTATTTTTATGTGATTTTAGAAATGTTAAGGCAATTATTATTAATTATTGTAGTTTCTTTAAACATATCCCCCTGCCCAAAAGCATGTTTATGTGATCTTTCCCCAGATGTGTACCTTTTCTCAAATGCCATAATTTAATTGAAATACTATTGTTCACTTTTAGCCTCGATTTTAAAATGAATCCTGGAAAATGCACATATTTAGTGAAATTGCACTTTCTGTGTTTGATGAGTTAATACATGTTTAAAAAGTTTAGTAGTATATAAAATTGGTGGTATAATCACTTATTCAGGAGGTCTGTTCTGGTGGAATATGCTTTGAGTGCACTGACGAATTGTCTGGGTTCTTTCTTTACCACATTTATCTCAGGCCCAAACGTAGTTGTTCATTTCTTTTTATATGAACCATTAAAACTAAACATTTTATTCTATTATGAATAAAAATGCATAAAATGCATGTTGCAATAAAAATGCAACAAAGTCACATTTATTTTAAATGAATGTTACAGAAATCTAAAATATGAATTTGAAAACTTTGTGAGGGTCTGAGGCAATATTGCAGAATTATAAAAGGATCAGTGTTTCATACATTGTGGTAATAAAAGCATTATAGTTCCAAAACAAAATAGTAGTGTGGGAGCTAAACAAATGTTGTAGAACATCATTACACAGAAAAAGCAGCCTTGAGTTAATTTATAAACTCATCTAAGCTTGTAAGGCATTAACACTCCTCATATAACACACTATCCATTCATTAAAAGTCTCCTCAAAATGTTGATTGAATTGACATTATTAAGTTCAAAATGTCACAATTGTAGGAAATTCTTGAACTCCCTTGGCCAATGTTTGTACCATTAGCACTGTGGCATTAGAGACCCCTCCCTCAAGGACACATGAATTACTACCCAATGGCTTGATAGCTGGACAGGTGAAAGACTTAGAATTTACCATGAGTACTACCATTCTGCCTACTGCATGGAAGAGGTAAAAAAAAACCCAAACTGAAAGTAATTCATGTGTTATAGCCACTCCTATCACACACAGATTCAGGCTGCCTTTTACTACGGCTTTTATTTAAAAGTCTCCGATGATGTTCAACCAGGACATTGTGTGTATTGGAGAAAACATCAGAGCACTGCTCTTGGGCCACACGGGAACTAATATCATTAAGGACTTTTAAGAAAAAACAGTAGTGAAATTACAGGGAGGCAATTCTTGGGTTCATGTTTCACAACTACAGCATCCATGCAGAACTCTGGGAACTTTCTGGCTACTGCAGTAGAGGATGCCAACGTGAGCATTTTGATGGAGCCTGTGAAGCTTCTGGTATTTTGAAGCCCACAGCTGATCCACGACCTTCAGGATAAGCTGATGATCTTTGAGAGTGGAAAGCTTCCACTCATGACATGTGACCAAGATCTCTGTCTAACTCCTCTTCCTACTCATTTTAATTATTATTAATATCATCTCATACTAATGAAATACCTTCTACTCTTCCGCAAACCTGGTTGTTGACTACACATAATATTTTTTAATCTTTTTTTTTTTTTTTGCTCTTTGTGAAATCTAGAGCCCCTTGCCCTAGGAAGCCACTTGGGACTCTCTTGAGAGGCCTGCCCTGCTCTGCAGACACCTCAGTAATGGAGGGACTAAACCTTTCCATGTTCACTTAGTGTGTGCATGTATGTATGTGTGCGTGCGCATTTGTGTGTGCTCGTGTGTAACACCATTAGAGTCAACAGCTATGCTAAATGTTGGTGGGGTCCCTCTGTCCTTGATTGTGTCAGATATAATTGGTGTTGTGGGCCTAGTGCTGGGACACTGACCACCACGGGGTCTTCCACTCTTGCTTAGGATGCTGACTCCCTCTGTCCATAGTGTCCCACAGACTTATTCAGAAGTGTTGATAATTAATGTACATTTGGGGACAGGCGGGAGTAACTGGAAGACTCTCTCTGCCTTTTGTACAGGTGAGAATATTCTTTCATTACCACAAACATATCTACCTCAGAGACTGCAGAGGGAAGCACAGAGTTGTGAACTCAGAGAAGTTCCCCAGAGGAAACTGTTTTATGGAGAGGAAGCCACATCCCTGAGAGGAAACCAGCCCTCACCCTCCACCTGCACCTGCCCTGGGCTGAAACTGCTCTTTGTGTCTCATGCGCCCCCTGGCGGCCCCCGCAGGCCCCTCAGGAGGTTTGTGTCTGGGCTCACACTGATGTCCCCTCACTGTGCCTCTTGCACAGTAGTACACGGCTGTGTCCTCGGCTCTCAGACTGTTCATTTGCAGATACAGCGAGTTCTTGCCGTTGTCTCTGGAGGTGGTGAACCGGCCCTTCACGGCATCCGCGTAGTATGTACTACTACTACTATAAATGCTTGAGACCCACTCCAGCCCCTTCCCTGGAGCCTGGCGGACCCAGCTCATCCAGTAGTTGCTGAAGGTAAATCCGGAGGCTGCACAGGAGAGTCTCAGGGACCCCCCAGGCTGGACCAAGCCTCCTCCGGACTCCACCAGCTGCACCTCACACTGGACACCTGCAAACACAGACACATCCTGGTCAGAAACAGTGACACACACCCTGTTTCTCTCACTCACATCCACTCATACACCAAATATCTCTAGTTCTCCATGAATTACCTTGTAACAGAGCAACAAGGAAAACCCAGGTCAGCCCAGACTCCATGGTGAGTCTGTGTGTTCAGTCCTGGTCACCGAATGGGGACACCTGGTAATGCAGGGCTGGGGCTCCTCTCCCAGAGCTGCAGGGTGAGAGCTGGGCTTGTTTTCATCAGCAGACAGAGGGCCCTATTTGCATGTCCCCTGCTATATAGTAGGCTCTGGGGTGGGACACCTGAGGAGAGGGCAGGGCCCAGATCAAATGTGAGTGTCCAGGGGAAGGTGTATGACAATTGTAACATTTTATATATTATAAGTTCTTTGAAATTGTAATGTGATAAATGCTTAGCGTCCATCATTGTGTTTCATATTGGCACATGGACATGCATTGTGTGTTGTGAGTCCATGTTTCTTCCATGTTATAAGTGTGAGAGTCACCCCAAAGCATCAAGGGCCCATGTAGTGTGCCAGGAGCTCATGTCCCAAATGGAAAGCCAAAGTCATAATGGAGAGATTATGAGAATGAGGTTCACAGATGACAGATAATAGAACTGTCTTAATTAGGAAATGAGAAGGGACTATTCATTATTAATATGTTAAAATAGTGAAGGGAACATAATTATGCTAGAAAACAAGGTAACTAATTTATGTAGAAAAATGGGGATTTTAAGGAAGAGTGAAGTGGAAATTCATAGAGTATTCAAAGAGAATTCAGTACAAATAGGCCTTGGACAAACAAACCAGCTGGATTGTCTTGTCTTTCAAAAGAAATCATGGAGTTGAAAATAGGTCAAAGGAACTACACAAGCAAAATGCAAAGGAAAAGAATCATGAAGACAACAGAAGATCAGTATCAAATAGTGTCATATAAATATGATTGGAAACTCAAAGGTAGAAGTAAAAGACCCAATATGGAAAAATATATTGAAGAAAAAATGGTCACAAATGTTCTAAACTTAATGACAGATATAAAATCACAGATCCAAGATGTAAGAGCAATTTCAAGAAAGTGAAACAAAAGACACACACAAACATACACCCCCACTGCTGATATATACTTGTGCATATGCAAAGACTAATGCTTATGCCCACTAGCAAGACACTCATTTCCTCTGTTATTATTTTTAATTAACCAAATTAAATTCAGTTGTATTTATAGCATGAGATAGTTGTTCCAAATCTTGTTCTTCTAGGTGTATGTCCATCTATTCCAACCCCAGTAAATGAATATATTTAAAGACATCTTTTTGTTAAAAACTGAATGAAAATTCCATCCATGGCAAACATAGGATTGAAAAGTACAATGGGATTGAGTTCTTAGCTCTGTGTTGGTTTTTTTCCCATGGCAATAACAACCTTTCTCTTTTTTTAAATTTTAGCATATCATAGGGATACAAATGTTTAGGTTATATATGTTGCCTTCCACCCACCACTGAGTGATAGCTTCAAGCGTGTCCATCCCCCAGATGGTGCGCATCGCACTCATCATGTATGTATACACCCATCCCCTCCTCCCCCTCCCATCTGCCCTACTCCTGATAACTGTTATTCCTATATGTCCACTTAGGTGTTGATCAGTGAATCAAATTTACTGGTGAGTACATGTGATGCTTATTTTTCCATTCTTGAAATACTCACTTAGTAGAATGGGTTCCAGCTCTATCCAGGAAAATACAAGAGGTGCTATATCACCATTGTTTCTTATAGTTGAATAGTACTCCATGGTATACATATACCACATTTTATTGATCCACTCATGTATTGATGGGCACTTGGGTTGTTTCTACATCTTTGCAATTCTGAATTGTGCTGCCATAAACATTGAAAGAGTGACAATAACAACCTATCTAAACACCGAGAGTTCTCACATCCCAGGCTGCAGGAGACTCTCAGGAAGTGCTCTTGGTCCACCCTCTCGCCCCCACAGGAGCCCTGCACCTGGCTGACGGGATACACCCAAGTCTATCCACAGGGCGCAGGTGCACAGAGATGAGCCCCCTCCTGACCAGCCCCTGACGCACACCCCCAGGGAGAGCAGCCGGTGCTCACTGCCACACCAGGAGAAGCAGGTGGATGGGGCAGGCATTAGTCCTCCACTCCTGAGATAAGAGGCAGAGGTGGGGTGCTGCCACCGAGACCAGGGTGTTGTGGGGAGCATGGTCAGCTGCAGGAACACGTCTGGCTTCAGTGAGAATGAGGAGAAGGAGCTAATTCACCAGGCGTAAGGGACAAAGGGACCTGGTGCCTCATTGTGTGGATGTCCGGGGAGACCAGGAGCTTTGACAGAACAGCGAGGAGGAGGAGGAACCATCTCAGGCTGGATGATCAGGAGCCAGGCGGAGGGGACGACACACCGAAATGACAATTGTTCCCCACACAAGGCAGGTAAAAGGCAGGGGCTAAACAAACCCCCAGCACATACAGAGCAATCTCTCCATAGAAGTGTTTGCTCCTGAATGACCAACACAGCGTAGCAAACACAAAACCCTTCCATGATGCAAGGGTGTGGATTGAGGGTGAGTGATTTCATACTCCAAATATTTTCTGAAAGTTTATGCATAGCAGAAGAGTGAAAAAAATTAAGGGTTAATTTTGAATGGAATTCAGGTCCTGAGTCATCCCATTTCAGCTGAAAGAAACCAGGGCATCACAAGGAAAAAACCATGGACTCCTGAGGAAGAAGAGTGACAGGCAGAGACAGGAAACTCCAGGGTCTGAAAAAAAAAAAACCCCTCAGTTTCCCTCTGCTCATGCTCCTGAGCTGGGAAATGAGCCCCTCTGTGGTCCGCAGCTGGGGGGTGGGCGTCTGCCCCGATGTCCCTCGGGCCCCGTGTCCTGCTTGGTGGTTCCTGGGTGCTGTGCTGCATCGTGTTGTCCAAGAGAAAATCTGTTATCAATTTTCAGACTTATTGAGAAGTGTTGATAATTAATGTACATTTGGCGGCAGGAGAAAGTGCCTGGAGCCACTCTCTGCCTTTCGAGCACTTGAGAATATTTTCTCACTCTCATCTCCACAAACATATCTAACTCAGAGACTGCAAAGGGAAGCCCAGAAGGGTGAACTCAGAAACTGTTTTATGGAGAGGAAGGCTAAACAGAGAGGAAGCCAGCCCTTGCCCTCCACCTGCACCTGCCCTGGGCTGACTCTGCTCCTTGTGCTGCCCCATGTGCCCCTGGTGGTGACTTCTTACCAAGAGAAATAGGAATAGAATATTAGTTTGTCTTAGGAAAAGGCCACCAGATGAAATGTAGGACAGGACTGGATTGAGCTAGAAATATGCACTTGATTGCATGAACCTGAGCGTAACAAAGGTTTTATTTGAACTTTCTAGTGGTACCTAGTTGGGGTATTACTATTATATTTCCTTCAAAGCCTTTTTATGCAGTACTGGGGACACATCACAATACGCTGTCCCCCTGGATAACTGTGTGGGAGAGAGGAGAATGTAATTCTGAAATGCCTCTAGACTGACCTCCCCTAATCACAAATACAGAGCTGAAGTATAAATCTTCAGGGGGGAAACTACCTAAACCAGAATACTTGGGACAGTGGGGGAACCCTATGAGAACTGGGAAGGGTGCAAAAATCCCCACTATAGTTAATTTCAGCACCACAGTTCCTCTCCATCATATGGATTAGAAGCCTTACTCTATGAGAAGTGCAGCACATTTGGAAGCTAAGATTGACTGAACCTCCTGAGCTGCAGTAGAGAAGACTTGGGGAGAAACAAGAAGACACTGTACCCTAGAGGGAGGGAAGAATGCACAGACCAACATCACCTCTGGAGTAGGGACAGGGACATCTGGAATAGGTCATTGCCTCGAGGGGCATGACACCTGCTGAGGCATTTGACTCAGTGAGAAAGCCAGAGAATGCCATGTCAATCAACCCCTTCCAGGATGTTGACAACTGTCAGGTAAATTTAAAACTAGAATGCACCTTGGGAAGATGAATTAGTGGTTTCTAGGAAAACAAAAGGTCAGAACATGGAGCCAAGCAGGAAACAAAAGCAGGGTCTCCCTGGAGGAGCCTACACTCTTTGTGGGCATAGCAGAGATAACTTTCAACACAAGGAGCCACGGCATCACTAAACTTCAAATGCAGACCTGAATACATCCACAAAACTTCCATAGTAAATGCCTAGGAAAGACAGAGTGTAGTCCTGCACAGAAAGAAGTATATATAAAACAATAAGCCAATAGAAACCATCAAATTCAACATGTCTGGCTTATGGAAAAAAATTTTAGGATATAATAAATGATCAAAATGAGGTTCATAAATGATGCAGACAGTAGAATTGTCTGGTTAAAAGGGAATGTGAAAGTAACATTTCAGTAAAGTAATCAATATGTTAAGATACATAAAAGTAAATATAGCCATGCTACAAAACCAGACAGCTGACTTGAGCAGAGAGATGGGTTTTAACAAATGGTGGGATGGAAATGCATAGAGCACTTTGCAGTGAGAAGTAAACAAGCATCTCTCAGGCTCATCGGCAGAGTGGTCTCACCTTTCAAAGAAACCATGACCTTGGAAACAGGCCCATTGAGTTACACAGCATAAAAGGCACAGAGAGGAACAGAGAAGAAAAAGAACACGGATATCAAAGTGTGTAATATAGACATAACTAGAATCCCAAAAGTCGAAGTAACAGAGGAGGAAAAATACATGCTGAAGAGGTGATGGTCACTAATGTCCCAGACCTAATGGCAGACATGATAATCACAGATACAAGAATCTCAGACGATGAACACGCACACACACGCGCACACACACACACACACACACACACACACACACACACACACACACAGCCCCAATGCATACATGTGCATATGAAACAACTAAAAGAAATTCTCCACACAACACACACTCTCTTCTGTATTTTAATTAATTAGTTCATTTATTTAATTATATTTCAGAATATTACAGGAGCACAGACTTTTGGTTACACAAATTGTTTTTGTACAGTTGGAATCAAAGTTATAGTGTGCCCATCAGCCAGACAGTGCGCACTGTACCCAGTAGGTGAGAATTCACCCATCCCCTCCTGCCCCCCCCCCGCCTTCTGGGTTTTGCAAGTGTCTCCAGTATTATTTTTAACCTTAATTTAACTAAAATTTTACCTGTACCATGAGTTTGTGGTCCAAAAATCATACTCTTCTATTTGTAACCCTGTCTATTCCAATTTCAATATGTGAATATATTAAAATACATATTCTGCTACAAGTAAAGGTTAATGCCATCCTTTAATCATCTAAACATATGATTGGAAAGTACAATGGCTTTGAGTTCTAAGCTCTGCATTGGTTTATTTCCCAGTGGTGACAATAATGTCCTTTCTGAACACCAGGACTTACCAATAGATCTCACGGCCCAGGCTGATGGAGTCTCTCAGGCAGGCCCCTTGGTCTGTCCCTGACCCCTGTAGGACCCCTGAACTTGGCTGAAAGAATTACATGACGGTGGTGGATTTCATGTGGAGAAGACACAGAAATTCCCCCACTCATACAGTACAGTTCACAGCACGGACTAAAGAAACTGCTATGAATGCCTCAATGACATTCTTAATAAAAATAGAAAGAAAATGGTAAAATTTATGTAGAATGACAAAAGATCCCAAATAACCAAACAAATTTGAGCAAACACCCAAAGTGAAAACATCATATGTACTAATTTTATATTGTATTACACAGCCATAGTAATAGACAAGCATTGCACTGGGGCAAAGTACAAAATAATGAGACCCATGGGATGTAAGAAAGACCCTAGAAATTAACTTACCCACACATGCTCAGCTAACATTCAGTCATGGAGGAAGAATACTCAACTGGGAAAGTGTAGTCTCTTCAATGAATTATTTTGAAAAAATTGGATATCTAAATTTGTTAGAATGAAATTGAGCCCCTATCTTACACCATATATAAAATTAACTCAAAATGGATTAAAGACAAACACAAAACCTAAAATAACAAAACTTACAGAAGAAAACATAGGGGAAAATCTCCCTGATGTTGGTCTTGACAACAATTTGTGGATATGACACTAAAAGTGAAGATAATAAAAGCATACATAGGCAAATGTGGAATAATCAAACTAAAATGCTCTGTACAAGGAAGAAAATAAGCACTAAAATGAGAAGGCTACTACAAAATAGGAAAAAATTTGCAAACAACATATCTGATAAAGCATTAATATATTTATACATATATGTGAATCAAGAAACTCAGTAGCATAAAAATAATAGTGATGAATAAATAATTTGTTTAAAAATTGGTAAAATGCCTAGAAATATATTTCTTCATTTTCTTTAATTTTTATTTATTTTAGCATATAATGGGACTGCAAATCTTTACACTACATGTATTGTGTTTCAACTACCTGATCCAGAGCTACAAGCATGCCTATGGCCCAGAGAGTGAGCACTATACCAATTAGGTGTGAATATACCCATCCCCACTCTCCCCTCCCACCTACCCAAAACTGATGAATGTTACTTCCATACATGCAAATAAGTGTTGCCCGATTAGTACCAATTTAATGGTCAGCATATGTGCTGATTGCTTTTCAATTCTTGTCATACTTCACTTCAGAGATGGGCTTCTGCTCAATACAAGAAAATACAAGAGGTGCTAGTTCACCACTGATTTTAGTGGGTGAGTAGAACTCCATGGTATACATATATTGTATTTTATTAATGAACTCATGTATTGGTGACACTTGGGCTGTTTATACACTTTTACAATTGTGAATTGTGATGCTGCAAACATTCAAGTCCAGACGTCTTTACAATACAATGCCTTTTGGTCCATTGGGTAGATGCCCAGAAGTAGGATCCCTGGATCAAATGGTAATTCTACCTGAGGTATCTCCATATTACTTTTTATAGAGGTTGTACTAGTTTTCAGTACCTCCAGAAACGAGTGAGTTTTCCTATCTCTTTGCATCTACACTACTTTTGTTGTTTTGGGACTTTGCGATGAAAGCCTTTCTCATTGGATTTAAGTAATATCTCATTGTTATTTTGATTTGCATTTCCCTGATGATTAGAGATGTTGAGCATTTTTTCATGTTTCTTGGCTATTAGTCTATCTTCTTTTGAAAAGTTTCTGTTCATATCTCGTGCCCACTGTTTAATGGGGCTGTTTGATTTTGTTCTTGCTGATTTTTCTGAGTTTTAAATAGATTCTAGTTATTAGCCCTTCATGAGTTGTACAGCATATATTCTCTCATTGTGTGGGTTGTCTATTTGCTCTAGTTTTAGTTTCTTTGGCTGTGCAGAAGCTTTTATATTTGATCAGGTCCCATTTATTTATTTTTATTGATGCTATGATTGCCTTTGGAGTCTTCTTAATAAATTTTGTCCATAGACCAAAGTCTATAAGAGATTTCCAACATTTTCTTCTAGAATTCTTATGGATTTATGCCTTAGGTTTAAGTCTGTTATCCATCATGAGTTGATTTTTGTGAGAGGCGGAGAGGTGGGGATCCTGTTTCAGTCTCCTATATGTGGTTATCCAATTTTCCCAGCACCATTTATTGAATAGGGATTGTCTTCTCCAGTATATGTTTTTGTCTGCTTTGTCAAAATTCAGATGGCAATATGAGAATTATTTTATATCTGGGTTCTCAGCCGTGTTCCATTGGTCAATGTCTCTTTTCTTGTGCCAATACCATGCTATTTTGGTTACTAAAGCCTTGTAGTATGGCTTGGAGTCTGGTAAACTGATGTCTCCCAATTTGTACTTTTTGTTTAAGGTTGGTTTAGGTATACAGTGTCGTCTTGGGTTCCATAAGAAGTGTATAATTTTTTCCTAGATATGGAAAAAATAATGTGGTGTTTTAAAAGGGATCGTATTGAATCTGTAGATCACTTAGGGTAGTATGGACATTTTAACAATGCTGATTCTGCTGATCCATGAGCATGGAGTGGTTTTCCATCTGTTTATGTCCTCTGGTATTTCCTTTCCTTAATGTTTCATTGTTGTTCCTGTGGAGATCTTTCACCTCTTTAGTTAGATATATTCCTAGGTATTTTTTGTTGTTATTTTGAACATTATGGAGTCTTTGATTTGATTCTCAGTTTGACCATTGTTGGAATACATGATTGCTACTGATTTGTGTACATTGATTATGTAACCTGAGCCCTTGCTGAACTTCTTATCAATTCCAGTAGTCTTTTGGCAGAATCTTTGAAGTTTTCTAGATATAATATCATATAATCTGCAATGAGCAAGAGGTTGACCAATTTTGCCCCCATTTGGATGCCCTTGATTTCCTTCTTTTGTCTGATTGGTTTGGCTAGGACTTCCACCACTGCATTGAGTAGAAGTGGGCATAGATGGCAACCTTGTTGATTATTGTTCTAATTGGATATGGTTTCATTTTTCCCCCATTCAGCATGATGTTGGCTGTGGGGCTTGGTCATGATGGATTACTTTTTTTGAGGAGCAGCTCAATTCAATTTACTATAATTTTATTAATAAATTTTGCATCTACACTCATAAGGCATATTTATTTGTAGTTTTTAAAAATTCTTTCTTGGCTTTGGTATGAGAGTTACATTGGCTCCATAAAATGTATTGGGAAGGATTCTTTCTTACTTGATGTGGAATAATTTCTGCAAGATAGGCACTAGTTCTTCTTTGTAGGTCTGCTTGAATTCAGGTGTGAAACTATCTGGTTCAGGACTTTTTTCCTAGGAAGGTTTTTTATGGCTGCTTCAATTTAGGGGTCCAATGGGTTCAAGGCAATCTGTGTGACTCCACAGCCCAGTGAAACTGGGTGGACTGACTCTCACAGAGGGTCAGGGATGACCAGTGTACAGACCTTTCTCCATCTAGACCTTCATTATCCCCTTTCCTTCCCCAACCTGTGGCTTCTGAGAGTGACAATTTACCAACCACACAGAGGCATCCACAGAGAACAGGGCTCTGACCTTTCCTTTTTGGGTCTTGCAGTGGACTGAGGTGTGCTTGCACTGTGAACTCCTGGGCTTCTGGCCCTCCCTGGTGCTATTGGTGGAAATGTAAGTTAGTACAGCCAATAGACAACATGGTATGGAGGTTCCTTGAAAATCTCACACTAGAATCACCATAAGATGCTATGTTATCTCACACTAGATCACCATGAGATTCTGGGTATTTACCCCAGAACATGTGAAATCAGTATGTCAAACAGATGTGTGCAGTTCTGTGTTTATTGCAGCACTCTCCACAGTGATCTAGCTGTGGAGTCAACCTGCATGTCCATCAACAGATGGGTCGATACAGAAAATGTGGTCTATACACGATGGCACAATGGAATGCAAGCCACTCAAAGAGAGAAAGAAAAGGAAGAAACGCTGTCATTTGGGAGAACATGGGTAAAACTGAAAAACATTGTGCTAAATGAAATCAGCCAGGAGCAGAAAGACATAGGCTGCATGTTGAAAATATAATTTATGTAAATGGAATTTCAAACACTAAAAATCATAAAAGCAGGAAATAGAAATGTGGTTACCAGATGCCGGGGTGAAGGGAATAGTGGGATGATGGGAAAAGGGTACAAAGCCTTAATTAGGAGAATTTTTTGAGGTCTATTACACCGAGATGTGAATATAGCTGAAATAATGTATTTTACATCCCATAATAGTTAACAGAGTAATTAAAAATGTTCTGAACGCAACAAATAAGTTCATTAGGTCGTGGACGTGTTGACTAGACATATCTGGTGATCCCACCTCGCATTCAGCAGTCACACCCTCACTCTGTGCCCAGAACCACACGCAGGACAACGTGTGGATTTACAACAATAAGAAACAAGAAAAGGACACAGATTCTCGGCTTTCTGGGTTGGGGGTGGGGCTCCCAGACAGGAAGTGACCTGTGGCAGAGCGTTTCCGGGGCAGTGATCTCCCTCCAGGTCAGGCTGGGGATGTTGCGTGGGGCCATCACGTCTGCAGCCTCCCCGGCAGGGGTGCGTACTCCCAGTCCGGAGTCTGCGCTCCAGTGTAGACGCAGCGTGACCTCCCTGTGCCACCGGTTGCCCCGCATGGCTGGCTCTGTGGCCGACGCACGTGCTGCGGAGCCACCTAGCCGCCCCCAGGTCTCGCCTGACACGTGACACAGCTGAGAGCCATAGTGTCCAGTGCCTGCAGGACCCAGCTGGTGGGCACCACCGCGCATGCTCCGGGACGCCTGCCGGCGAGCGCCCCCTGGTGTCCGGGCGGTCCCAGCTCCGTGGCAGGTCCCTGGGCACCCGGAGTGGGAACCGCAGCCCAAACATGGAGGCCGCAGGACTCCCGCGGTCTGTCCGAGGAGGCCAGGACTCCCAGGCGCAGTTCCTGACAGAGGAGCGACTTCCGGTCCCTCGGCGCGGGCTATGGTGAGTCGGGCGCCTGTGGGTGTCCCTGTGGGAGCGACCTCAGTGTGCGGGAAGGGCGGGCGGCCGGTTGGAGTTTCAGTGTCCTCAGTGGTTTCTACGCAATCCAGTCACATGGAGGCCCAGTTTCCAACATTGGAAATGAAAATGAAACTCAGTCACAGCTAGGGATGTTTCAGTGAAGGTTCAGGTAATGATTGAGGAGTAATTAACTTTAGGTTAAGGAAAGTTAGTTACTGAATATGTTGATCATGTGCTGTGACCCACGCCTGTAACCCATCACTTTGGGAGGCTACAGTAGGGGGCTCACTTGAGGCTGAGAGTTTGAGGCCAGCCTGGCTGGCAACACAGTGAGACAATATATACATATACATCTCACCTGGCCACTGTGAGGTGCACCTGTAGTCCCAGAAACTTGGGTAGCTGAGGCAGTGGGATCACGTGTGCCCATTAGTGTGAGGTTGCAGTGAGCTATGATGATGACACTGTTCTGTAGCCTAGGGGGGCATAACAAGACCCTCTTTCCAAAGGAACAAAGAAAAAGAAAAATATAGAAAACAGAAAAGGAAATATTTATGTCAGTTTCCAGCAATTTTATATGGCAAAATGGTCAGCTTCATCATTGTAGCAATTTATGCCCATCAGGAATTTGTATTCCTGTGGGCACGTGACAGAGTTCTAGTCATGGAGGCAGGAGAGGTTCTCTGTTGTGACATTTCTGATTCTTCAGAGGAAATTTCAGGATGGTGTCCTATCCTCTTCCACCCCTGTCCTATCTGTGTGACCCTTGAAAACACTCTCACAGCGTCCACACAGGAGGGGAGTGAGGGATGAAGTGGACATTTTCAGTGTATCAGTGTGAAAAATTGAGACAAGAAACTCGTTGGAGGAATGAACTTTTGAAATTGGCAAGCTTGTAGCCAGTCACATCCAGCTTTTTGTTTCATTAGGTTATGATTTTCATTATTGTGTAGTCATTTCATGTTGCGGTTCTTTACTTTTTGCTAAAATAGCCAGATATGATGGTCTAGAGGCATTAAAATAGAAAGTAACAGATCTCCTAATCAGAAGCAGCCCCAGCTGATGTGGTTCACGGTGTGACAGAAGACGCGGCTGAAAGCTAAGTGTGGGCACAGAGCTATTTTGTCTGCGTCAGGGAAAAGTTCTGTATATTTCTTAGATAAGATTCTCATTGGGACCCTTGAGACAATGTTATTTGTTGGTGAATAACACTTCAATAATAAAACTGGAAGTCATGAAGCAGTGATTCATGTTACTGTAGTAAACTTTCCATTAGAATGTCATGCTCAACTGGAGGTAAAATCGGCCCACATGGCAGAAGCCATTGCCCTTCTTAGTGCTTATCAATTAGCCCAAATCCAGGATTAAATGTGTATGTTTTTAGAGTAGTTCATGAACTTGCGATATTTTACAAACAAAAGAGTTTCTCAAAAGTTCTGGAAAACCTATCAAAATGAAAAAAAGCTAAGGAACTTCTAGATAAACTTCTAAATTCTAGAGACCTGACTAAAGTAAACAGGAATGATACAAAAAAAATAGCACAGGAATTAAAGTATTGTTGTAGGAGGTCATTACCCAGAACAAGCAGCCTAAACCTGGTTTGTGATGCCATCTAAGCTGTGAGGCATCACCACTGCTCACATAAAACACTGTCCACTCATTGGAAATCTTCTGAAAATGTTGATCAAATTAGCATTATGAAATTTAAAATGTCACAGTTTTAAGCAATTCTTGAACTCCCTTCACCATTCTACCATTAGCACTTGCTTACTGCAAGTGGTCCACTCCCTCAAGCACACGTCAGTTGTCCGTATGACTTGGTAGCTGGAATGATCAAAGATTTTGGTTTTATCACAGCTATTACTAGCATTTTCCGTATTGCATGTGACAGTAAACAATTTTAAAGCAATTCATGCATTATAGACACTCCTAGCACCAACAGATTCCAGCTGCCTTTTACTATATTCTTTTAGTAGTCTTACATCATGTTCAACTGGGACATAGTGTGTGTTGGAGAAATATGAGGAAAATACTGGTCTTGAGCCATCCTGGCACAAATATTATTAAGGATTTAAGAAAATACATTAGTGCAATGCCAGGTAGGAAATGCTTGGGTTAGCATTTCACAACTACAGCATCAATTCAGAATTCTAGACATGCGGAAGGCTATTGTGCTAGAGATTGTCAAACTGAACATCCTTGTAGAACCTGCAAAACTTCTAGTATTTACAAACCCACAGCTCACCCATGACCTTCAAGATAAGTTGGTGATCTTGGGCAGTGAAAAGCTTCAACCCATGACATTGGACCAGGACTCCTGTCCAACTCCCTCTCCTAACCATCCTCATTAGTATTATGATTGTTCATACTAATGAAATGTCTTCCATTTTTCTGCAAACCTCATTGTTTTCTTCCCATAATGACCTTTGTCTGCTTTCTTTAAAAAATTATTTTCAAAAATATTTAATAGTTGTTGATTGGAATAAGAAGTCAGAGTCTCTTAGCTGATTTCTGCCCACTGACATCTTAAGGCCCAACCCTTCATCTTCCCTGTTTGTCCCACTCACAGGAATTCTAGTGAGGAATCACAGGTGCTTTATCAGAAATGACTGTTGAAGGCCTAGACCCCACAAGACCCTTCCGGTGGATGAGAGCCGCCACCCTGCCCCACCAGGGAACTGTTTAGAAAACTCTCAGCCATCTCCCCTCTTGCCGTACAAAGCCACTTGGTACTATCTTGAAGCCTGCCCTGGTCTACAGACACCTCAGTAGTGGAGGGACTGAACCTTCCCATGTTCACTTAGAGTGTGTGTGTGTGTGTGTCCATGTGTGTGCTTGTGTGTGCATGTGTCTAACACCATCAGTCAACATCTACACTAGATGTTGGTGGGGTCCCTCTGCCCTTGATTGTGTCAGATATAATCCATGTTGTAGGCCTGTTGCTGGGACACTGACCACCACAGAGTCTTCCTTCTCTTGCTTAGGAAGCTGACTCCCTCTGGCTTTGAAGCGCCACAGACCTATTCAGAATTGTTGATATTAATGTACATTTGGGGACAGGAGAAAGTGACTGGAAGCTACTCTCTGCCTTTTGGACAAGTGAGAATATTTTCTCTCATTTCCACAAACGTATCTAACTCAGAGAATGTAGAGGGAAGCACAGAATCGTGAACTCAGAGAAGTTCCCCAGAGGAAACTTATGGAGAGGAAGCCACATCCCTGAGAGAAAACTAGCCCTTATCCTCCACATGCACCTGCCCTGGGCTGACTCTGCTCATTGTGTCTCGAGCGCCCCCTGGTGGCGCCGGTGTGACCCCTCAGGAGGTTTGTGTCTGGGCTCACACTGATGTCCCCTCACTGTGTCTCTCTCACAGTAGTACACAGCCGTGTCCTCTGTTCTCAGACTGTTCATTTGCAGATATGCGGTGCTTTTGGAATCATCTCGTGAGATGGTGAATCTGCCTTTCACAGATGCGGCATATTCTGCTGTGCCACCATTAGCCTTGTTTCTAATAAAAGCAACCCACTCCAGCCCCTTCCCTGGAGCCTGGCGGACCCAGTGCATGTAATAGTCACTGAAGGTGAATCCGGAAGCTACACAGGAGAGTTTCAGGGACCCCCCAGGCTGGACCAAGCCTCCACCAGACTCCACCAGCTGCACCTCACACTGGACACCTGCAAACACAGACACATCCTGGTCAGAAACTGCCACACAACCCACTGTTTTTCTCACTCAAATCCACTTACACACTCAGTATCTCCCGTTCTCCATGAATTACCTTGTAACAGAACAACAAGGAAAACCCAGCTCAGCTGAGACTCCATGGTGAGTCTCTGTGTTCAGTCCTGATCACTGAATGGGGACACCTGGGAATGCCGGGGCTGGGGCTCCTCTCCCAGAGCTGCAGGGTGAGGCTGGGCTGGTTTTCATCAGCAGAGGGAGGGCCCTATTTGCATGTCCCATGGTATATAGCAAGCTCTGGGTGAGGACACCTCAGGAGAGGGCAGGGCCCAGAGAATAGATGAGAGCCCTGGATGAGGTTATGGTTCATGATATTTCAAAGATTAAATTCTATAAAGAGAAGCACAGAGGAGATGTGCAGTGTGTGAAAGCAAGCACATATATGTTGATAGGTACCTGCAGTGTCCGGGACTGTGCTCCCCTACACTAGACGCTGTTGCTCCCCTGAACCAACTCCAAGATCAATGTGAACATGCCTCATAGGGTCTGCAAAATCCCCTTCTGTAATGAGAACATGATGGGATGTTGCTGCATGCTAGTGTTTCAGCTTCAAGGTCGCATCAAACTTTGGGCCACAGAACCCACACTGCCCTTGACACTGTTGTGCATTAACTGTGACATGAGCCTCTCTCAGCTGAGGGGATTTAGTTTCACACAGATTGTCAAATGCAACTGCTGCTTCCTCTGTGTTGGGGCCAGAGCACATAAAATGAGGCCAAGAAGGAATGCACTGAAGTTTGTCTTACATTTCCCTCTTGCCAGGCAAGTCCACATAGGCCCAGGTTCAGTCTATGGGGCTGCCACATGCTTGGTATAATAATAGGCAGCCTTGATTTTTGTGGAGGTCACAATGGGTGTGTGAGTAATCATGCTCCACTGTCCACGGTTGCAGGTGGCCCAGTGGTCAAACTTGACATTCTCTATTGTCACCTCCCGCCTCCACTATGGATTCTTCTAACACATTCTTCTAAAGCACGGCCAGCACTTTGCAGTGAGGGTAGCTGTGTGTGTTCCCTGAAGGAGTGACTCAGGCCTGGGCACTGCAGAGCCATTGCCGTTGGTCCCTTGGCCATCGTCAGGCATGTGGTTGGTGCAATTGTCCTCCTCAGTGTTGAATGCAGTGGAGAAACCACAGAAACTGCCTAGGCCTGAGGGACTGCCCCTGCCTCCATGGATACGCACAAGCTTAGCTTCCAAAGCGGAGTAAATGTCTATCAGCACGAGAGTGCCTTCTTTTGTT